ACAAGGGTGATCAGGGGCCTGGAACATCTGCCCTGTGAGGAGAGGCTGAGGGAGCTGGGCCTGTTCAGCCTAGGGAAGAGAAGGCTGAGAGGGGATCTAATCAGTGTATATAAATACCTCAAGGGAGGGAGCGCAGAGGACAGTGCTGGTCTCTTTTCAGTGGTGGCCACTGGTAGGACTAGAGGAAATGGCCGGAAACTGAAACATCAAAAATTCCATAGGAACTTAAGGAAAAATTTCTTAACAGTGAGGGTGACAGAGCACTGGAACAGGCTGCCCAGAGAGGCTGTGGAGTCTCCTTCTCTGGAGATCTTCAAAACCCGCGTGGATGCAGTCCTGTGCCACGTGCTCTAGGTGACCCTGCGTGTGCAGGGGGGTTGGACTAGATGATCTCTAGAGGTCCCTTCCAACCCTAAGCATTCTATGATTCTATGATTTTAACTCTAAACAACTATGTGCCAGAAGTAATTATGCCTGGGGATTATTTTCCTGTGTGAATCTGTAAGGTACCACCCTGCTTTCTCTCACATTGACAAATCTCTCTTACAACATGTGTCTCTCACCTGAAAACATGGATGGTGGACTTGCCGGTCTATGAAGAGAAGACAAATGCACATGTGGACTACACATGTCAAAAATCTCCAGATACTGACAAGCCCTGTGCTTATCTCCACTTTGTTGTGAAACTCCACCACAAAGTACCACTTTATCCAAGTCAAAAATATCTGTATGTTCTGGGATAGTCAGATATATCAGTATGAAAAATATAGCACTGGATTCCTCTGGACAAAATAATCCAGTCAAGGTAAATTCCAGTCACCAGAGTCAATTCCACTCAACAGCAACAAACTCCAGAGTTCAAGTTTGCTTCAGATGAGTGAACTCCATGTTGAAAAGATCTACTGTGGTCAAAACTAAGCCCTGAAACTGCTCATCAGGGGTTCCTTCCAACTAAAGAGCCTGGGTCAGCCCACTCCTCTGTAAAGGAGTAACTGTCACAGTCAAAAAATCTGAGTACTTGGAGTCAATGAGAGACCACCGAGTTCATGGTTCTGTCCATAGTTGAGCACAAATAATAAGGGGAACATATCTATGACAAAAGAAATCTCAAGATCAATACCAAACTCTCCAGTAAAAGAGGATCATGGAACAACTGAAGACAGTCCACAGAGCTACAAAGATGATAAGGGAACTGGAGCATCTCTCCTACAAGAAGAAACTGAGAGAGCTGGACCTGTCTAGCCTAAAGAGGGGAAAAAGAAAATAGCTGAGAGGGGATCTTATCAATGCATGTAAACATCTTAAGGGAGGGTGTCGAGAAGATGAGGCCAGTCTATTTTCAGTGGTGCCCAGCAGGAGGACAAGAAGCAGTGGGCACAAGCTGAAACACGGGAAGTTACACCTGAATTTGCGGAAAAACTCCTTGACTGCGAGGGTAGCAGAGCACTAGAACAGGTTGCCCAGAGAGGCTGTAGACTCTCCTTCTCTGGAGATACTCAAAACCCAACTGGACACGATCCTGTGCAACATGCTCTCGGTGACCCTGCTTGTGCAAGGGGGTTGGAGTAGGCGATTTCCAAAGGTCCCTTCCAACCTTATTCATTCTGTGAAAACAAGCAAACAACCGGAGTGCTCTGTTTTGGGAAAAGCCCACATCATTTCTAACAAAGGTAGCTCCTCATTTGGACCGTTGCCCTCAAAAGGCTGGTGAGGAAGTCCTCAGAGTCCTGAGGTAAAGGCTTACATTGGCTCTAACCTCTTGCTGTTAATACAATAGTGTTAGCAGCATCTACAGCAATGCCTAAGAAAATCCGAATGGAATGTTACCTTATTTGCTGAACTTTTCCCTTGCAACTACAGTGGCAAAGTGCTTTTACCAGTGAGAAGCATCAGCAGGTTATCACTTTAGAATCACATAGGAATGAGGACTATAAACTCCAGGGCTATCAGACTGTGGCATGATGCCCTTGACAATAAACTACTGGCAAGTCCAAGCACTTTTCTCAAGCCCTCAGAAGCTCCCTTCCCTTCCATTCTCTTCCCCCTGGACCTGAAACCTGAGGCTGTGGATGCCTGTTGGGAACTTGGTGTCCAGACCAACAACTCTGAAATGGAGCAAAGAGATCTGGATGAGGCTGACCAAGGGCAACAGCTACATGGACAGAAGTAGCAACAGGTCTGGGGAACAGACTCCACTGAGGGAGAGATTGCCAGTCTTCCCAAGAGCACGAGGTGACCCAAGTTTGCAAGGTCAGAGCTCTCTTTGACGCTGAGATGGTGAAGCATAAGCTGGACTCAAATAGGCAACAGCCTGTTTGGCACAGGTTCTCCCACATGCATGTGCCAAGGCAGAAGTGTATCTGATATTAGAGATGACTGTGACACTCTCAATCAAAGGCTGAAGAGCCACAGACATTAAACTCTGAAAACAGAACAAAGTAGAAGCACTCCTGCTCTCTTGCACATTCCTGAGACACTCAAAGCCGTCTTGAAGGTCCTTCACCAGAAAATTGGGCTTCTTCTACTTTCCTGATCTTCCACGGATAAAAGATGGCATCTGTTCATTTAAGCTTTTGCTTAGCGTTTTGTACTGCGTTAAGAAAATTACTAAAAAGCTGAAGACAATAACTTACAAAGATAAGTAGTTTTTCAGTTTGGAAAAGAAATGATTTTCTACTGTTGATTTCTACTTAAGATTATCATGACACACGTGTGGCTAAATGGCACGATGTACCAAGAGATTACTTAAGATGAAAACATGCGTTGTGCAAAGACATTGCTCCATTAACTGTATCTAACTGTTAAAAAGTGTGTGTGTGTGTGTGGGGGGGGGGCAGAAATTGACTAAAAATCCACTGTAGGGATTTTGTAGAACAGAAATAGACTAAAAATAAATGAAAGAGAGAGGAGGCAGGTGAAGGGATGACAAAAAGAGACTATGAGCAACCACTACAGATATCAGGTGATGAGAAACTCTGTCCCCTTGACAGACTAAACAGCCCTGAAAGCCACGTTGCTACTGAGAGGCCAAAGGCCCCCGTCGAGGCCGGCAGTGCCGTCTTGCAGCCTCGGGGCCGGCGTGGCGGCCCGGGCCACCCTTCCCTCCTCCCCCGATCCCGGGGCCGCACGGCCGCTGCAAGGAGGCGCCTGCAAGGACG